CTTGCTCCAACAGCTCCATGTCCTTTTTATGTTGAGAACACCAGAACTGGTCACAATACTCCAAGTGAGGTCTCACAAGAGCAGAGTAGACGGGCAGGATCACCTCCTTTGACCTGCTGGTCACACTTCTTTTGATGCAGCCCAGGATACGGTTGGTTTCTGGGCTGCAAGCACACACTGAAGCTGGCTTATGTCCAGTTTCTCACCAACCAAGACCCCCAAGTGCTTCTCCACAGGGCTGCTCTGAATCTCTTCTCCACCCAACCTGTAGCTGTGCCTGGGACTGCCCCGACACAGGTGCAGGACCTTGCACTTGGCTTGGTTGAACTTCATGATGTTGGCATCGGCCCACCTGACAAGTGTGTCCAGGTCCCTCTGGATGGCATCCCTTCCCTCCAGCGTATCAACCGAGCCACATAGCTTGGTGTCGTCGGCAAACTTGCTGAGGGCACACTCAATTCCACTGTCCATGTCACCGACCAAGATATGGAACAAGACAGGTCCCAACACTGATCCCTGAGGGACACCACTCATTACTGGTCTCCAAGTGGACATTGAACCATTGACCACAACTCTTTGCGTGCGGCCATCCAGCCAGTTCTTTATCCAGTGAGTGGTCCATCCATCAAATTGGTGTCTCTCCAATTTAGAGACAAGGAGGTCATGTGAGACAGCGTCGAACGCTTTGCACAACTCCAGGTAGGTGACGTGAACTGCTCTGCCCCTGTCCATCAGTTCTGTAGCCCCATCATAGAAGGCCACCAAATCGGTCAGGCAGGATTTCCCCTTAGTGAAACCATGCTGGCTGTCACCAGCCACCTTGCTCTTTTTCATGTGCCTTAGCATGATTTCCAGGAGAATCTGCTCCAAGATATCTCCAGGCACAGAGGTGAGACTGACTGGTCTGTAGTTCCCTGAGTCTTACACCTTCCCCTTCTTGAAAATGGGGGTTACATTTCCCTTCTTCCAGTCATCCGGAACTTCACCTGACTGCCATGACCTCTCAAATATGATGGACAGTGGCCGAGCAACTTCATTCGGATGGGTTTCATCAGGTCCCATGGACTTGTGAATGTTCAGGTTCTTAAGATGGTCTCGAACCTGATCCTCTCCTACAGTGGGCCTAAGGTCTTCATTCTCACAGTCCCTGCATTTGCCTTCCAAGACTTGGGTGGTGTGGTCAGAGTATTTGCTAGTGAAGACAGAGGCAAAGAAGTCATAGAGAACTTCAGCCTTCTCCAAATCCAGGGTAGCCGGTTCTCCCAATAGCTTCCAGAGAGGGCCCATGTTGTTCCTAGTCTGTCTTTTATTTGTTATATACCTATAGAAGCCTTTCCTGTTATTTTAAACATCCATTGCCAGATTTCATTCTAACTGGGCCTTAGCTTTCCTGACCTGGTCCCTGCCTTCCCAGACAACATTCCTGTATTCTTCCCATGCCGCCTGTCCTTGCTTCCACTGTCTGTAAGCTTCTTTTTTCCCTCTAAGTTTCCTCAGCAGTTCCTTATCCATCCACGGACGTCTCCTGGACGCCGCACTTCGTTCTAGTCGGGACACAACACTCCTGAGCATGTAGCTGGTGATCCTTGAATATCAACCAGCAGTCTTGGGCTTCCCTGTCCTCTAGGACTATATCCCATGGATTATGCACATATTCTTTATTCAGTTCAGCATGAAGTGAAAGCACATTTTCAAGACAGTAATAAGCTTTCCTGGAAAAATCAGCACAAAAAAACTAGCATCTAGTTGCTCAGACAGATTTATCAAGGCACCAAGACTGGCACATTTTCTCAGGGACAACAGAGCACAGTGCAACAAGTTTCTGTTATGGACACTACTTTGTACAAAAGCAAGCCTCACAAGTTCAAATTCAGGATGACTCGCCTAATAATAATGCATTATTACCTTCAGATACCAAGAGGTGGCCTTCCAGCTTTCAAGTATGACAACTACTACTTAGTTGAGATAGCAAGAAAAGCCATTATGTCGGGCACTTGTCTCAGTAGCCATGCAGGTATCAGTATCTAATGTGAAAGTAAAATTACACAGACAGCATGTACAATGTATACAACTTCTCTGGATGAACAAACACACCGTAAAAAAATCCCTCGAAATTGTGTTCAGCATTAGCTAGTTCATCATGTTTACAAATGATATGACTATGCTTGACTTAATGCATGCACTGGAAGAGTCATTACAATTTCTAAGGGATTCTTGTTAAACAAGTTAAGAAATTCTGAATCCTAATGTGCGATTAATGGAAGTCTAAGATAAACCAGCTCACAGGTAGTGAACCATCATTTTTGTACCATTAAGATTTAATCATCCTGAACCATGCCTCCAAACTTATTTTTAAAACCAGGCTATACTATATAAAATAATTCATGACAACAAAATTAAAGGGGGGGGGGAAGTTACAAAACCTAAATATTTATAGGTATAAGAAGGAATTTTTACAGATGACTAATATGGCCACTGATGATTACATATTTTTGGTAATGGGGAACTAATCAAGCCAGAAGAGAAGATCAGAAATTAATTCTGCTCATTGACATTATTGTGTCATTGCAAGTAACACAAAGTTTTCAGGGATATGGATATTGAATGCTTCAGCTTTCTAACAATGAATTCTTTCAGGGTACATGGCACTTTATAACAGAAATAACCCAGCTTCTCCTTTAAGCCTTCTCTGCAGACATAAAAAAGAACGAAAATGTTTACCTTCCCTAACAGCCCAATTACTTGTTTCAAGCTCAGACTTTTACAGGTTGAATAGAACAATTCTGGGAATGCTGCTATATTTATTCATGTTTGCAGAACAAAAAGCTATTCATTCTTCCTTGGATGATATAAAATGACAGTCCAGACTTTTTCCATGGTCTTAAATACCAGTAGAGTATGGCAATTGCCAGAAAGATGGAAATTTCATCTTCTGAGTAATATCACAATATATTTAACCGTTATGTAGTACCACATTGCAAACCTGCTGCATGGGCCAATTAAGGCCATGTCTACACTACAGAGATTAGGGTTTGGCATAACCAGCTAGCACATTAAGATTTTAGAAAAGTTTATTTTCAGTGTATTGCTTTCACTAGGAAAAAGTGTGTCCTTAATGAAAAGAGGAAGCTTTAAATGTGGTATGGCACTATAGCAACTACTGTCATTGCTTGGACCTTACTGAATTTGTTAGTGTCTAAATGCCAATCAATCCTCTCCTACAGGTGAGGTTACAAAAACACATGAAAAGTGAGCTTTTCCAAAATAGCTGTTTACCTACATGACCACAGAGCATGCAAGAAAGAAAAAAGATCTGCTGTACACTTCCTTTATTTTTATATTTTACAGGCTTTGAATGAATCTCAGAATATCCTCATATGAAAGATATAAAAGAAAAACAATGATGTGGGCAGCACTGATGTGCACTGAAGTAAGTTTTTTGACAGTTAATTTAGAGCATGATTAGTTTGTGTTCCTGCCTTTTTGTTTCCATGCTGCTTACAGTGATTGCAGAGGAATTAAAAATACAACTTTCAAAGCAAATTCTATATACAACAATGCTTAACTAGTCAAACTATCATGGTTAATACAGTAAAAACTCATGCATGAACACTTGCCTCAACCAAAGATTTTTTTTCAGCAAATTTTACACTAATTTGATAACCATTTAGCAAAACTAGTGATCAAGACTCAACTAGACTAGTTCCTGAGCAACTTGATTTAATTAGACCTGTTCTGACTACGGGGTTGGACTAGATGACCTCCAGAGACCTTCATCCTGAAATTATTCTATGATTCTACGAAAGATTTATCATCAATTTTTTCACACTCATAATCAAATAACAGCAATGAACCAGAAAGACTGTTGCCTCTTACCTGCTATATACTTTGGTTAGTAAGTTGTTTATCTGTTTATCCATTTTGTACTTTGAGTAATCTTCCAGACCATCTTTTATTGCAATAATTGTCAGAACTGCTACTAGGGGTAGCATTGTAATTTCTTTTTGGAAGGCTTCCACCAGAGGAACCCAGTTCAGGACAACTAGAAACAGGAAATATAAATTGGCAACTCTGAAACAAAAAGAAAATACAGGAGTTAGCTGTGCTAGCAGACAGTGGTCCTTATTTTCCATCTCCATGCTATACAGACATTTAAGTTAGCAGGGCTTTATCCTTTCTTCAGCCCAAATGTAATTTAAGAACTAAGTATCCAGAACTCTGTTTTCACTCTCTGGTTAATAGATTACCTAGCTGCACAGCTGCTTTAATATGCATGATCAAAAGTTGCAGAAAAGCAGAATTTTCCCTTATTTTCAAACCTGTTCTCCAGGCATGTGTCTTCTAGCAATAGTTTGGTGAACTTGCACTCTCTCAAATTTCCAGGTCTTTTAATTTTACCATCTCCAGGAGCAGATAACATGTTTTTTAAAAGGGAGCCATCCTACAACCTCCCTGTATGACTTTACGGATCAGCAGTCCTCCAAGCAGAAGAAGAATGAAAAGAACTGGCAACAGAGAAAGACATGAGGAAGGGGAGAAACACATTTACAGGAAATGAGCTGAAAATCCTACTGCAGGCTGTTGTGTGGCAATGCCTGAAGAGTAAGGAACATTTCAATAACCCGAAGAACAAAATTAGCAGAAATTACATAACTGCAGAGAAAAGGATTAGCTCAACACTGATGATACTCAAGAGACTTGGTCAAATAACAAAGATTTCTTCAGGAGTGACAGGCAGGTCAGGAGGAATAATAATTTTTTAATACCTGTCTATAAAGCAACACATTTAAACAAGTAGATTCCACTTCAGAAGAATTACCACAATGAAAAAGGAGTTCATTACCTGTGAAATTGTTCAAACAAATTCCGTGGTAAAAAATTCAATAACGTATACTTAGTAGTCCGTATTTTGTTATTCATGTACAGTTTTGATACTTTTTCATACTCTTCCTTAAAATGTCCCAAACATGGTATTACTATCCTATGTTTGCCAATGGCTTTTGATGATTGATAGCACTTGTTACTTGAATTGCTGGGGCTGCTACCTTCTCTGCCCTCTGCAGATATCAGTCGCTGCCAACGGTATCGAGCCCAGCGGATGGGATCTGCCATTGTGCCTGGAATGCTTTACAATCCAAGGAGTGTCCTCCGTCTAGAAACACGTTAAAAGACAGCAAGTTACATGATAATTCTGTAAAGACTTTTCTACTAAAAAGGCACAGTTACAGTTTTGAACAAGCCTAGGAAAAATGTCATTTATATATTTTGATTTAAAAATACAGACAGGTTTTTTAAATCAAAATAGGTTTAAAAAAATCTATTAACAGACAGTTAATGGGTTATGTGAGCTCAGAAACCCCTGCTTCAAAGGTTGAATTTATCTGAATTTCATCCACCCTTTCAGGATCTTAGAGTTTGATTACTCTGTTTAAAATGCACAGTACTTTTGTAATAGCACCTCCTGCAAGCAGCCTACCCACCGGTTTCTTGTGCTGCAGTATGGTAAAGGAAGTAGACAAGCTGCTAATTCTGCAGAGAACAGCATTTCTGAAGGAATCCTTATGTCAGACACTGGAATAATCCTTGCTGATGGTTAACAACCTTTATTAAACTCAGGAGTCAACGATGTAACCATAGGCATCTGAGTACAGTCTTAGGCATGAAGCAAGGAATTGCCAGTGAAAGGCATTAAGTAGTACGAACAAAACCCCTCTCTTTATTGAATTAGAAACAGGTCTGAGAATTTTTACCAGCAGATAGAGGATGAATAAACTTCATGTCAATGCTCTTCCTCCTTCACCTTAGCTAAGCTCCAGCAATCTACCCAGGAATTCGTTTTCCTAAAGAAAGCTGAAGTTCATAGGTAGAGGTGGTACTTAATCAAACCACCCAATGCAGTCAGAAAAGGACAAGGACTCTGACACACACAAACTACGCTTTAGCAGAAGCTCAAAATTTCTGGTTTTTACAATTTACAAGTTTCTACAAATAACAGTTGCTACATTTCTTATACTCCTTCTTCCACAGAGCAGCTCATCTTATATTTGTTTAAAACTGTAACTTAGGTGAGCCCCAAATCATCAGAACAGCTACTTCTCACTGCAGATTACCTTCCTTCCATCTAGGATCTTACTATCTGCATACATTATAGCAAAATTTTTGACTATAGTGTTCTTCCTAAATACCCCCACAAAAGCTGCCTCTTAACACACTTGGTCTTTCTAAATGAAATCTCTTTACTACAGTAAAGACTAGCTGATTAGTCATCAAACTACTCCTGATTCTGGCTTCAATCAAGTCAGACTTCTATTCACGTGTATCTCTGAAGTGACAAATGCCACTCTGCTACTCAGGTTCCACCAAAATGTTGCTTTAAAAAGTAATTTTTCAAACTATCAAATTGACATTATCATATCTTCTACATACATCTTCCTTGATTTTTCCTTTCTTCTATCAATTGCAGAAATCTTGAAACATGGGCACAGTGTCCTCAGCAGGTCCTTTAGCAGTGACCTAGTATTAATATATTTGCAACAATCCACTCTGTCCTTAAAACGAAGATTCTGCAAACTTCCTAAAAAGCCTGGTCCAATGTGTCACTACCCTTTTGCTTAGAAAGCTTTCCCTTAATGTCTAACTGGTCCCTTCCTCTGACCAAATAAAGATAGTAGATTTTTGTCCTATCATAATTAGATATGGATAGTTATTGCCTGTTACAATCTTAACATCTTGTAAGACTGTCACCACATACAAGAAACTCTTGCTCTTCTTTAGAAACCATGATCTGCATGTGAAGGGAGAAGAGGAACAAGGAGAGAAAAACAAACCTCTATATACACCTCCTTCTCAACACCCCCCAGCAGTTCCCGTGAATTACTGTTTTCCCAAGGCCCTTCTGTAGCGCTTCCCCAGGTGATATAAGGGACCAGTCTAAGAAAGAGACTCTCCTTTATTCTCAGTGCTAAACCTTGTGGTCCCAGTAACCATCAGACTACCAAAGGTAAGCAACTGCTGCACAGAAAGATAGCTAAGTCTGGGACTTCTCAAAGAAACAAGGAGGAGTTTTGTGAAATTATCCAAAATAAATTATATTCTCTTTATTTTCACAGAATGTGGCATCTTCATGTCTTTGTCCCCTCTAATCATACTGCATGGGGTACAGTACTGAAAGGGAATGCTCTCTGAATAGAAGCTACTATCCCATTTTAAGCAGGGTCAGTCTTACCTCCAGAGATACAAACTCTGACGCTGAGAAGTAGCTATTTCACAACAATGAACTACTTTAAGGTATTGCTACCATATAGTAGCAATCTGACATGTGAATATTGATCTGTATACACATGAATGAGACGCTTCAATTCTTTTGCACTAAGTCTGAGAACAAGTCTAAAGCTTAGAAGGTAGCCAGGTCTTAAAAAATGTTTAGGGACTGCAGAATGTGCTGCTAATGGAGTCCATACTTGGCTATGCAGAGCTCTTCAATACATCTAGAGCTCCTAAAAATCAAACCAACCCATCTACATAAGTCAGGACTGAAGCAAAGAAGAAAGATCTGAATATTAGAGCATTTAGAAAGCTAACTGGCTGAAATGAGGTACTTTCTTCTTTGCAATAACAAATTTAAGCAGTTGAGCTCTTAAAAAAAAACACTTCAATTTCTACATTTTCGATGACATCCTTAAGATTTAACCATTTTCAGGAAACAACACTGCTCCTTAACTGCTTCTACTATGACAAATCAGTAATTTCACAAACAGATCTTATGCAATAAGAGGCCTTTTTAAAAAATGGTTTGCTTTAATTAACATAATTAACAATACGCTGCATTATCAGGGAGAGTTTTAACGTGATTTCTTCTTTGACCTGTTAAATTTACCCCTTACCAGCTTCCATCTTTACCATGAATCATAAAGGGTGTGTCAATTACCCACACTTTTGCTTGAAATGATAATTCTTTGCCCAAGAGCAGTAAATTGACATATCTCTACATGCTATTACAATGTACATTATCTTTATAGAAAACTTAATTAAGTAAACACCTCAAAATATTTCAAGATGCCATGAGCCACGTACTTGAAAGCAGGTTTGACTTGTAGAGAAAATCATGTTGGTTTTCATAAGACCATCAAACATCTGATACTTGTGACTCCTGTGACCAAAAGCAGCAGCAAAAGTAAGGAAACACTTTCCCAAAGCAAACTCCCAGGGCTAATGGGAATGCAAACACTTTAAATGGTAGATCCTGTTTACTTGGTGAAAATTACGTAGGCAAAATAACCTACACAGCTGTATCAACTTTAAAAGCTTAAGAATTACATTATCAGTAACATGCAAATAAAGGTGGGAAGAGAGAACTGAGAATCAGGAAAAACAAAAGAGAAAACCTGACAGATTTCAAGACTTTCTAAATTCTAACTCTTTTTGGTTTCATAATCTATTACTTTTTGTAGCATTTGATACCTGGTGTCCACTTTTTATACAAAAAAAAGAAGGCATGGAATGTGGGGAGAGTAGTGGGCATTCTAACATGACAGCATATTAACACAGAACTCCTCACCACTGGAGCTAAAGATTTAAACTGCATAAGCAGTGTTGCTGAAGAGCAGTCACCCCTCATAGCACACACATCCCTGACTCCTGACGCAGCTCCAAAACCTCTGCCCCACCCTTCCCCAGCCTACATCAGAGAATCAGAGCTTAAAAAGGAACAGGAAACATGGAGTTCACTGCATATTTCTGCCATTAGCCCCAGCATTTTATTGTAACAACTTTTAAGGAAACTCTGAATAGGGCTGTACGGACAAGAAATAACTAACATAAAACCACTGCAACTGCACTGTATTGAAAACACTTTATGAGAAGCAACAAGCAATCTGCTATGGTCAAAAGGGTGAACCAGACACTTAAGCAGCATCTTGGGAAGAAAGTACGTGGATCTCGTAGTCTGCCACAACGCCCTCTGACTCACCTGGGATTTGACTGAGCTACCATTTGCAAAAGATTTTTTTGTTTGTTTTAATCATTTGCATTTCCATTTTAAAATAGAATTTTCTGAGGTTGCAAATTTCAGAAAGCTGGTTTTGCTTCCCCCCCCCCCCCATCTTCTGAGAATTTTTCTTCTTCCTCATTAAACTTGGATCATAAAGTAATGAGCATCTTTTCTTTGGTTAGCTAGAAGGAGGATAAAAGTTGATTCATCAACTTCATGCTAGATATTGTAAAGCATGAAGTTGCCAAAGGTCAAATACAAACCGTTTTAAGCAATTTTTCTATGAAATCCCTTCTCTTAAAACATTATTTGACTCTTTTGCCCTGTCATTTTTCATAGTAAATTCTTGAGTTCTCCAGCTTACTTGAATTCAAAGTAATAAAAAACAGCAGATGTTTCTTTAAACACTGAAATACACCCACAAGATGAGTTATTTTGAAGCGGTACTTTAAAGATTAAAAAAAAACCTACAAAACCCAACAACAAAACACTTCATGTTCAAAACACCCCCAAGAATAATGTTCATGTATGTGAATATAAGAAGACTAAATGATTACATGCTAAGTTTTCAGGACAGCATCACACAAGCTGGACTGTTTTCATTTCGCATTATGCACTCAAGTTAATACTACTCCCATCTTGTTAAGATGGCAATAGCTGATACAGAGATAACCCAGATGTTTTACATGCAAAAACACAAGGTCTTGTAGCAACCTCACTAATGTCACATGATCATGATGAAATGTGGAAGGGAATTATTTGACACTAGACATATTTGGTTTCTCTTTACCTCAGTTCCCTCATGTACTCAAATTCTTTCAACTTCTTATAAAACACTTTGAGATACAGAAAACTGCAAGGACTAGATATGGTTAATGTGCAATAGCTGGTTGTTAAATCTTTGTAAAAGCAAGGCACAGCAGTGTCATTTTTACCACAGGACAGTTCAACACTGTACACTACCCAGGTTTGAACATCCTGTATCACAATAAAAAACCCCTTTAATAACTCTCTGCTAGTGGCAATGCTAGGAAATCTCCTAGGTTAAAGAGTCTACACTGAAAGAAGGGCCTTTCATCATAAAGACCAGCATAAGCATTCTCTTTTATGTACATTTCATGTC